TTCTTATTATTATTACTACTATTATTATTGCAGAGTCTGGGATCCTAGAGTTTGTGGGCAATGTCTTCCTTGGCCTAGGACTTTAGGGGCGTTAGGGTTGTTGGTCTGTGCCTTTAGGGTTTTAGGTGCAGTTTCTTGCGTATCGGACTTACCGTGCGGGGCTCAGGGTTTAAGACTTGAGGGTTTGGTTTAGAGTCGTTTAGAGTTTGTTTCGGGTTCAGGGTTTAAGAACGGAGGGTTCGGGGTTCGGAGCTGCATCTCTTAAGTACTGGAGTTGCCAATCCCGACAAAACCTTCGCCCTGAAGCACCAAATCTCAAGCCCAGGAAACTCGTGGGAGGAGACGATCGAGACCAAGTACCTGAAGACCTTGCTCAAGGGTCTTGAAGATTCGACGCAGGAACGTCGGCGCGTGGTTCGCGTTTGGGTGCTTTTGGGTCAGCTGTGCATTTGCTAGGCTTATTGGCTCAGCCCTCCTTTGCTGCAAGTGGTCAGAGTGCTGTGAAGGGACCCAGGCAGTAGTTCTTCAATACATGACTTCAGTGACTTAAGGAAGCCCTCAAGACGAGACCCCCACTGTCCTCGCTCAAGCCATACAGTGAAGGCTTCCCGTCGTGTTGAACTGTTCTATCGAAAGCCCCAGCTCTTGTGTCAGGACCTCTACAAGAAATGGGGCGGAGATCAGGAAGATGGCAACTGGACCGGATAAAGTGAAGGTGTACAAAACTTAGACCTCCAAGAAGTTGGAACACATGGATAAAGGAGGATGTGTGCTAAGGTTCCGTCTTGTTTGGCTACAGGTCATGACGACAATTGTTCCAACTGTCTGACACCCATTGTAGACCGCACAAGATCCGTGTAGCGCGGTTCTAGAAAGCTGGTCGAGTAACGTCATGCGGAGGCTGAATAGGCTTAAGTAACCAGGCGGTGAGGGCGATGATGCAGAAAAGTTCGGAAGGGGTAGGGGGGTAAGTCAACGATGGCGATAAGATGATAGTGCTGGTGTTGGGTTTGAACAATCAGAAGTTGATGAGGAAACTTGATTGCGATGCAGACGCCACATGATTGCTGCAGATTGGCAGACTCACTCACGGCGATAACTGTTGAGTAAATATGAGATGATGAGAGGGGTCGAGCACATATTATGTAAGTTACGACACACCCTAAACCCTAAACCCTGAAGCCTCAACGACCGCAGAACTGGCAAGCCCATCATGTGCCCGCCACCGCCCCGACCTTCGGAAGTCAGCCAGAACCTGCAACAAAGCAGCCGGTTGCGGTTTTAGGGTCTAGGGTTTAGGGTTTAGGGAACATTGCTAGGGGCACTGGTGGCATCATGAAGAGGACCTATCTACACAGACGCGAGAGTTGCCACATCTCCTCAATTGCTACGGTCTAAGCCAACTGAGGAAAGTTCGTGGCAGAGCTGAAGGAGGCCGCCGATGCCGTGGCCCCAGCAGGAGGTTTCGACTTCACTCAGGGCTTCCAAACCCAAAATGGCCTGACCATCCTCACAAGCATTACTTGGAGGTTCAGAAGTAGGGTTATAAGTCCCCTAATATGGGTTATAATTATAGTTACCCTACTTATAACCCCACTCATAACTACCCATGAAACTCAAAGTAGGGACGTTGCGGTCGAAGGTGTGCGTAAACAGGGAAACCACCAGCCCTAAGCCCAAAAATGCTCAAGCGCCAACAGCCCGTGAGCGAACTGCCGCAGGATTCCCGATTCCGTTTCCATGGGCTTCAGGTTATAGTTCCTAAACCCTAAACCCTGAACCCTAAACGTTACAGGTTTTGGGGCTGTGCTGAAGCCTTATAGACCCTGACTTTAACACTCAGGTTTGCATTGAAGGGTGCCTGCTCTCGTTTAGTAGCATCTTTCCCGGGAACCTGCTCCAAAACACCCGCCTTTGATCCACACGCCCAAAACTCCAAAAAACGCCTAAAAGCCCATTGTACTATGGGAAAAGCCGGAATCCTTAAACGAATCCTTAAAAGAAGCCAGTCGACAGCCCTGGCATCTGGGGTGGTGCAGGGTTTGGGGGTTTGGCTAGATTCCCGTCGGCAAAACTACCTATAGTCTCCATATGTCTCCATTGTAGTTCCTTTTTTGGTTAAACCAAGTACAAATCAAGGAAAGAAAGGTATCCCCAAAAAAGGAATTACAATGGAGACTACAGGTAAATTTGATTCCAAAGACGAAACCCAGTCCTAAAGGGCACTGGCAAAACATTGCTTCTCATGAAGTGTGCCTCAGAGTTCCAAAGAGCATCCCTTAATCCCTAGGCCCTAAACCCTAACCCCAAAACATCGCGGAGCAGACCTTAGATTCAGAGGTCGATGAGTCAGCCGCACCGCCCTTGAAGGGTCAGACGGTTGCCGGCTCAACAAATCCTCAAACCCTAAGCCCCTAAACCCTAAACCCCCAAACCCTAATCCCCTAATCCCCTAAACCCCTAAACCCTAAACCCAAACCACCTCAGGGAGGAATGGAAGTGGCCAGGGGGGAGCAGACAAAGGATCCCAAGGGCTCCTTGATGCTCTACGCGTGGCCCCCACGCAGAACCTCCGCGCAACGAGGGTTCAGGCTTTAGGGCTTTGGGCTTAGGGTTTAGGGTTTAGGGTTTAGGGTTTAGGGTTTAGGGTTTAGGGTTTAGGGTTTAGGGTTTAGGTGGTGGAACAAGCCAAGCAGACCTTTGGCAAGGAAGGCGTGCTTCTTATGGGAAGCTTAATGTTTGAGGAAGAGGATACTGCTTCCAAGGAGCGGCTCATGTAAGCCTTGAGGGTTTAGGGTTTAGAGTTTAGGGTTTAGGGTGCCTAAACCATGGTTAAGACTGGAGGACCTGCACCCTTCCACAATCGCGGTAGTTACATCCCACACAGCCGATCATTCTACCCGGAAGCCCGACAGCCCTAAAACCATAAACCCCCAATCGTAAACCTGAACACATACATGGATAAGCCCTTGCTTCTCTAAACCATAAAATCAACACAAGCAATCCCGCGTCGCGTCTAAACGCCCTTCCAAACCCAGCTTATTCCAAACAAAGCAAACGTACACAAACTAAGCATGAAAGGAATCAAAAGTCATACGCCATAACCGAAACCCTCAACCCTATACAAACTCTCAACCTCAAGCCCCGAAACCCTCGCAGAACCCTGTTTGCACCTTGAGAGTATCCCTGAAAGGAGGCCGGTTGGATGCCCTCCCTAAACCCTCAGCCCCCAAACCCTAAACCTTTGCAGGAACTTTGTAAATCTCCCTATGAAATGCCGAAGCCGTCGTCGAAAGGTCCGAGACTTCCCCAGCGCGAAGCGCGAGGCTCCGTTTTGAGCCTTCAGGGTTTATCGAGCTGTGGGGTTTAGGGTTTATAGGGCCCTTCAGGGTTTAGGGTTTAGGGTTTATTATAGGGCTTGAGGGTTTTGGGTGGAGAGGGTCTTGAGTTTAGGGTTTAAGGTTTAGGCGCTTTAATAAGAGTATAGGATTCCTTTGAGGGTTTGCTTGCGGTGCCTGCTTTTAGGGCTCGGGGTTTCGGGCATCTGAGTACAGGCAAGAACCCAGCATCAGCTCCTGTAAGGTTTGCAGATTCGCAGAAGTCCGAGTTCAGCGCTGCAAAAGTGACGGAGAGCTACTTAGCTATGCAAAGGAATAGCTTTAAATAGCCCTAAACCCTAAACCC